TTGAGGTATGACTGTGGCCCTGCCCTGCCTGCTAAGAGCTAAACATCACAGAGAGCTGAAATCACTTGAGAAGGGGTAGTTTTTTTGCCCAGCCTGCAAAGAGCTGAAATGTACTAAGAGACTGATGTGCAGAGGTCACAGCAGAGACAGGTGGCAGCAGAAGGTAGGGTTACCATACGTCCGGATTTTCCCGGACATGTCCGGCTTTTTGGGATTTCCCCCCAGACGGGGATTTGAGGCCCAAAAATCCGGACATGTCCGGGAAAATCCGGACGTATGGTAACCCTACCTTCTGCTGCCACCTGTCTCTGCTGTGACCTCTGCACATCAGTCTCTTAGTACATTTCAGCTCTTTGCAGGCTGGGCAAAAACACTACCCCATCTCAAGTGATTTCAGCTCTCTGTGATTTTTAGCTCTTAGCAGGCAGGGCAGGGCCACAGTCATACCACAACTAATTTCAGCTCTGATTGGGCATTTAACATAATAAAGAGACACCTAGTTTGCTGTAGCCTAGTTAGTTTTATTCTTTGAACAGTGGGGAGGAACAGGTTAAACCAGTCTAGGAAAGACCTTTGAAGCTGTACAGCCTCCTGGCTAAAAAACTTGTCCCCACCCTTCTTACTTTCACAGGCCTCTGACATTCGAACCCCTGCTTAACAAGGTTCTTTCAACTGAGGGTGGCCTCCCTCATTTGGGACAGGTTAAGCACAGTTCTGCTTTCCTGTATTCCTACAATTATTACAACATTGGTAATCATATTTCACTACCCCTGCAATCAGTACTACGGTCATTTGTACCCAACACCAGCCAAAGTTGATCCTTTGACACAGCTGTATCTGATGAATACGTAAACAGAGCAGGAGCAAACTGTATTTACATAAACACACCCATAGTCAATTCCCCTCCCACCTAGCTGTCAGGGAAGAATTCATTCAGACCCTGCTTACATCAATTATCCTAACTTTTTAATTGTAAGTGTACCGCACATGTTTGTATTGTCAGCCCGTGGCAGCATAACAGATGGCAGATGAGGGGCAGTTGGTAGGGGTAGTTGGGACTTTGCACGGGGGAAGTATGGAAAGCATTTTGGAATTGCGGAACAAGCACATTAGCTTGGTGTTTCAGTTAAGATATTCATCTGTGAAGTAGCTAACGACGTGGGTTACTTCCCATCATTGAGATTCAGTGTCACTAGGCAGCTCAGACCTCTTGGGGCTGTTGTTTCAAGCTGTTTACAGACTCTAGCAGGCATTACTGCCTGGGTTACATTTGGTTCCTGTACTGAAGGGACCTTCACTGGTCCATCTCTCTCACTCACACAGCCTGAAGCATGGTTGACACTACCAACTTCTGTCGGTATAACTGCATCATGCAGGGGTATGGAAATCCACACCCCTGAGCGACACAGCTTTACCTCTAACCCCCGGTGCAGACAGCACTATGTTGATAGGAGGGCTTCTCTTGTTGACGTAACTACTGCCTCTTGGGGAGATGGATTAACGATGCCGACAGGAGAAGCTCTCCCGTCAGCATAGGTAGCATCTTCACTAAGCGCTACAGTGGCACAGGTGCACTGGTGCAGCGCCGTAAGTGTAGACAATCCCTGAGCCTTCCTTTCCCCAGGAATGTCCCTTCTCTCACCTGGATGTGTGTGCCCCTGCTTAAGGCAGCCCCTGCTTCCTTCCTTCATTGATTAGCTGTGGCTGGAAGGGTGGAGTGGGAGCAGGCTGGCAGGTCTACCTTCCATGCCTGAGCCTTCTTGCAGGTGCTGTGGGGTGAGGGTCATGTAAGCGCCCGTCTCCCGGACAATAACCTGTTCCTGCCCTTTTAGCGAAGAACCTTTCTCCCTCTGTCTTACCTGACTGCACATGCAGATGGGTATCAGGCCCATGGGAGAGCAGCCAAGTGGGGCATGGAGTGTGCCCTGCCCACGTACAGAGAGGGTCAGGGCTGCGGACAACAGCATAGCTGCTCAGACTGTGGGAGTTTGTGTGATATTCGCATTACCAACAGAGGGGCAGGTTTGTATAATTTTTGTTGGTGCCCAGAATGGGTCCAAGTCCAGACCCCCCACACACCTGCCTAAGGCTCTGGGAGGGAGTTTGGGTGCAGGAGGGGGCTTGGGGTGCAGGCTCTGGGAGAGAATTTGGGTGCGGGAAGGGAGTGGGCTCCAGGACGGAGTTTGGGTGCTGGGTGCAGGCTCTGGGTTGGGGCAGGGAGTTGGGGTGCAGGAGGGGGTGCAGGATGCGGGCTCAGAGAGGGAGTTGGGGTGCAGGAGGTTTGGGGTGCTGGGTGCGGGAGGGGGATTGGGTGCTGGGCGTGGGCTCTAGGAGGGGGTTAGGAGTTGGGTGCAGGCTCTGGGTTGGGACAGAGGGTTGGGGCGCGGGAGGAGATGTGGGGCATGGGGCTGGGCCGGGGATGAGGACTTTGGGGTGCAGCAGGCAGGCTGCTCTGGGGCTGGGGGACAGAGAGGAGGACTCCCCCCATCCCTCTCCCTGCCGGCAGCACGACACTCACCCAAGCCCCCCCAGGCTGCAGCTCAGGAGGTCCAGCCAGGATAAGCTCCAACCCCGGAGTCGCCTGCCAGGGGGGCTGCCATGCGCCTCCTCCTCTGCTCCCTCTGCAGGTGCAGGAGCCACCTAAGCCTGCCCCTGGCGCTGCTCCCTTGTAGCCGGCAGTGGAGGCAGGGACAGTTGCGGGAGGGGATGCATGGGGGCACCAGGCAGGGCCGGGGGAGAGACCTGGCCTCAAACATTGGTGGAGTCGGGCCCCCCGGGTCCTGAATTTGCTGGAGCCCGGGCCCCATGGGCCCATACAACTCGCTGCCCCTGCCCACAGCTGCTCCATGCCACCCTGTGGTCCCCTCCTCACACCTCAGGCACCTCCCTCAGGGTAAGCGCACCAGCGCTCAACTTATTTTCTTAGACGCTCACCCCAACAGGCTGGGTGAGCTGGCTGGGCTGGGCCCCTCGGCTATCCCAGCTTGACTAGAATTAGGAGTTTCATTCTGGGTTTGGAGGCAGAATTGTCCGGTGTGGAGGTGCTGGCTAAGGCCCAGTTCCGTGCGATCTAATTTAATGGCTACAGAATAATTCTCTCGAGACAGCGCAGAAACCACCACTAGATCCAGATGACACGTTAATAAGAAGACAGAACCTTGTTTCAAAACATTACATTCATCACCCTAAAAGACAAAGACAGACAACAGGTTTTGAAAGACGGTGAAACCTCATGTTTTCCCTAATTAAGACCTGAAACAAAATGTAACAGCTGTGGTTAAAAATACCCCATCTTTGCTGCCTTCCACTACATCAGGAAAAGCTATTTATAGACTGACATGGTCTTTACATAGAAAGCCTTGGTGACAATCGTCTCTTTTCCCAGGGAGCTGAAGCACACTGAGCCATGCAGCACTGCACCTAGAACAGAGAGCTCCATGACAGCCTTCAGCGCTCGCATAGCCTGTGTTCCATAATTTAAGCAGTGAGTAATTATTTTCCCTTTTAATTTGATAAGACAAGTGAGGGCAGCTGCCTACATTTCTGTCAAACAATAATCAAAAGGACCTAATTTCCCTGCAAAGCCACACACTGCAGTCAGAAGCACCTCGGCCCCAGATCACTCTGAAGTATTTTTGTGCCAACTGCCCTTCAGGTAGAGGCTGGAGAATTTCCCTTCTCCATTTACTGAAGCTATTTCTTCCAGAAACTGGCTGATAAAATCAACTTCAAAGTGCAAAAGGAGCTATAGCTAATAAGTGGAAAGCCCAGATGTTGCAGGATATAGCAATGGTTGATTTGTTACATCAGTGCCGAACACCTTAACTTGGTACTAGGGGGAGATGTGATGTGCTAACATTTTCCAGACAGGATCTATGCAGAGGCCCATCTGGCCAGATGGTCATTAAGCGACAGAACATAGTGATTGAACATATTCATCTGCAAACTGACTCCTCAGAACTCCAGCTGCCTTGCAGCTACCTAACTAGTCCACAGATTTGCTTTGCAGCTGTCAGAACCCTCCCACTGCCCGTGTAGCCTAGGTTACCATATTTCCACAATCAAAAAAGAGGACACTGGGGGGGCGGGGAAGCCCCGCCCAAGCCCCGCCCCCATCCACTCCCTCCCACTTCCCACCCCCTGACTGCCCCCCTCAGAACCCCAACCCCCCCTGCTTCTTGTCCCCTGACTGGCCCCTGCTGAGAACCCCCCACCCTAACTGCCCCCCCCAGGACCCTACCTGTCCCCTGACTGCCCCAACCCTTATCCACTCGCATGGGTGGCAGAGTTGTAGAAATTTTGGTGGTGCTCAGAACCCTCCCCCACCTGCCTAAGGCTCTGGGAGGGGG